CAAAAGAAAAATCCTTCTAGGCACAGAAATGACAAGAAAACATGGTAATTTCATGTAAAAATAATTCACCCTCTTTCCCCCCCCCCCCTCCTCCCCAAAAATAAAATTCACATTCAGATTAAAAGAAGAAAAGCAAAATCTAGACAGCTAGCCAGATCCCAAAAGTAAACTCATATGTAAAAACTAAGGGCCCTGTCCTTTTTTCCTTTCCGTCACTCCAGTCTCTCTCTTTCTCTTTCCCCCTCATTCTCACTCTCGCCCGCCAGGAGCAACCACTGCAGATCTCTTCGTTCTGTTTACGACCTTTTTTCTCTTCTGGGTGCCCAATTTTGCGTTCGGCACTTCTGCTGCTGACACCAGACGTTCAGTCTAGCCTTGGAACTTTGTCGTTCTTTCTCCTCGGTTCTTATCATCCTCGACTTCTTCAACGGAAAACAAACTATTTTTCCTTTTCTCTGAGCGCTGTGTTTCATCCATCTATCTCGCCCACCCGCTCACCCACTCTAACCAACCAACACACTCTCCGCCCACCATGGGTCTTTTCAAGCGCAAAGACTCTAAGAACTCGATCCAGAGTGAGAAGGATGAGCAGGAATCCTTTGCCTCCGCCAACAGTGCCCGTACCTCGAGTGCATCGTTGAGATCCCCCGGGTATAAGGGAAGCGGGTTGCCTGCCTCCATACCAGAGATGCCGATTGCCAAACCGCCCGATCCAGCCCTGGATCCCGCAGCTTATTTGCGGAGCATCCACGCCGTCCGCGAACGATGCTCATACGTTCTCAACAAGGCGAAGAGAAACAGACTCAACCACTTTGATGTTGATATGAGCAAATTCATTGCCACTGCCTCGTACATTGTATCTATCATCAAGGTTAGAGGAAACTGCACGCACTTTGGGGACCCCCCGTCGTATTTGTCTCAGGATTCGGTGTGCTAACCAAGCTGGTTCCTTCTAGAGAGACTATGCTCCCGACTACGACGCGATTCCTCCTCATGGACGCTGGCAGCACTTTGACGTGGGTGGCCGACCCCGCGTCAACCAACTGCTTCAGTCCTGGCCTAGTACTATTGACGCGCAAGAACGGACCCGTCGGCTGATCGATCTGTTTGTCGTCTCCGTTCTTCTTGATGCGGGCGCAGGGAACGGATGGTCCTACAAATCCAAGGAGTCGGGCAAGATCTACTCTCGCAGCGAAGGCTTGGCAGTAGCTACGTTGGAAATGTTCAAGAGTGGCTTGTTCAGCAGCGACCCCACCGAACCCTGTCAGGTGGACGGCGCTGGGCTCAAGAAGATTACCGTGGAGGTGCTTGCTAAGGGAATGCAACACTCGGAGCAGAACCCGCTTGCAGGCATTCAAGGTCGCGCTGGACTGTTGATCCGACTTTCCGAAGCTTTGAACAACCAAGACTTCTTCGGCGTCGATGCGCGACCCGGAAACTTGCTAGGTAAGCGAAGACCGACCGGTCTGTCTTCTGCCTAACACCGGCTAACCTACGATATGCAGATTACCTTCTTTCCCACCCGTCTACACTCGCCTCGTCCGTTCCGATCGTTCCTATCACCACCCTCTGGAGTGTGCTCATGGACGGACTCACCCCGATCTGGCCTCCATCGAGAACGCAGATCGACGGCCTGTCTATCGGAGACGCATGGCCCTGCTCTGATCTACCTAAATCGCCACCCGCACAGCCCTGGGAGAACATCGTCCCGTTCCACAAATTGACGCAATGGCTCTGCTACTCCATCATGGTTCCCATGTCGAAATTGATGAAGATCCACTTTGCGGGCAGTGAACTGCTGACGGGTCTTCCCGAATATCGCAACGGCGGCCTCCTGATTGATATGGGACTGTTGAGTCTGAAGGAGAAAGACCTGGAGCGCGGGCTCACGGCATACAGAGAGAATGCTCAGATTAAAGGACAGCCAAATGTCGAGGTTGTGCCCCTTTTCTCGACGGATGATGATGTGGTGGTGGAGTGGCGTGCCGTCACTGTTGGCTTCCTAGACGAGCTGTTGTCAGAAGTCAACGGGCAGCTTGGGCTGGTAGGAGAAGACCAGTTGACACTTGCACAGATGCTAGAGGCAGGCTCATGGAAGGTAAGCTGGAAATCCATGTCTGATACCTATTGAGGTGAAAACATGCTGACAAGCAACTCTAGGGTGGTCGCGAGATCGCCGAAGTATCCAGGCCCAATACGAAGGAGCCTCCCATCATGATACGCTCGGACGGCACTGTTTTCTAATGATCGCATACCTCGTTGATTTCCTGGATACCTGACTCCGCCAGCTCGCGTTTGCTGATTACCTTACGGCTGGTGGACGTGCTTATGACTTTGATGACCGGATATTCCTTCGCCTTGTTACATATTTACTGTTCTCCCTCTCTGCGTGTGAAGAACACCATTCGGGTCGATTCTGGACTGGAACGCCTTGAATGTTATACCTAATTGGCGTCTGCTGTACATTTGTTTCTACTAGGGGGGGTTCTGATATTTTACTTTTCATGTACACATGGATATTGGTCTGTACATTCTACATCAATCATTACAGGGGAATGAATTGAAAGAAGTCGCAAAGAGGTTCTCGAGTACTTGTATCAACAACTGCACAACTGTACAACTGTATGTACATACAGTACAGTCTTTATGATATATCTTGACTACCTTTTGAGGGGAAGCCCACGTGTGAGTCTCCAGGCTTAATATGGAAATGACCCGATGCGTGTAACTGCACGTGACTGGAAGGTAGCAGCCTCCGGAACATTGTTGACCCAAACAGCGATGACGCTTGAGAAGGACGGGGAGGACGGGAGGGAGAGGCTGGGCTGGTCCACCAACTCCTCCGGCCCTTTGCTTGAGCGAGCCTTCGTTCTGTAGCTTCTCTACCTCCACTTACCAATCTCCCCTTGCAAGATCCACTTTCAGATGGATGAAAACTACCTTTCTTCTCCCATTGATTAGCACTCTCTCCTCCTCATTCCTGATCTCTCCGGTTGAGATTCTATCCTTCTCTTAAGTGCGGGGTACGGTCAACGGGATAGTAATCCCCCCCCCCCCCCCCCCCCAAATATGGATCTCCGCAAGAAGAAGAGAAAGGTTCTTCTGATGGGGAAGAGTGGCTCGGGGAAATCTTCTATGCGATCAATTATCTTCAGCAACTACGTGGCCAAGGATGTCCGACGCCTGGGTGCCACCATTGATGTCGAGCATAGTCATGTCAAGTTCATGGGGAACCTCACGCTTAACCTTTGGGATTGCGGAGGGTAGGTCAATCAACACCTCGGGCCTTGCATTGAATAATCCATCCATTGACCGAAGATTCTCATTCTAGACAAGATGCCTTTATGGAGACCTACCTCGCTTCCCAACGAGGCAACATCTTCTCCGACGTTGCCGTCCTCATCTACGTCTTCGACATTGAGTCCCGCGAGGTCGAGCGCGACCTCGACACCTACAACGCCATCATCAATGCCTTGAAGGAGTACAGCCCCAACGCCCACGTCTTCTGCCTCGTCCACAAGCTCGACCTCATTCAGGCCGAGCACCGGCAACGGATCTACGACGAACGCTCCGCCATGATCCGCAGCCGGTCGGAGCACTTCTCCATCGACACCTTCGGCAGCAGCATCTGGGATCAGTCCCTCTACAAGGCCTGGGCTGGCATCGTCCACAAGCTCATCCCCAACCTGACGGTCATCGAGCGGTTTCTCCACGCATTCGCCAAACGCGTGGATGCCGAGGAGGTCATCCTCTTCGAGCGCTCCACCTTCCTCACCGTCACGTCCGTGTCATCCGAGATCGGCGACATGAACCCGATCTACGACCGCCACGAGCGCCTCTCCAATATCATGAAGGCCTTCAAGCACTGCGCCGCCCGCAACACCCACACCACGCCCGCGTCTGCGGGGTTCGTCGTCATGCACACCAAGACCCCGCAGTTCAACGTCTTCCTCGGCCGGTTCACGGACAACACCTACATCTTCTTGGTGGTGCCCCCCGGCGAAGCGGCCTACAACTGCGCCGTCCTCAACACCATGCTCGCCCGCGAGGGCTTCTCCAAAGCGGCGGCCACCGGCCACGGCGATGGATTCCCGCTCCCTACCGTCGAATCGCCCGACGGGACCAATGGGGCGCATGATTGATTTACCATCAAAGCAATCGACCAAGAGATCAAATTGACCTCCCCATCAAGAGTTCATCAGCAATGGCACGCGGTCCGTCCGATGTGGAAGAAGCGTATGCGCGGCTCTCCGCCTTCACATCCACCATAACAAGGAGCATATCCCCCTGTCTAAAGGGGCCAAAAAGGGAGGGTCTAACTCCCCCCCCCCCCCCTATATCCTCTATCCCACCCCATGCCAAACAACCTTACTGCACCACCAAGCAAACTAGACACCACACCCACGCTTCCAATTCCTTTGGCCCCGACCGGAGAAATCTCAGTGCCTGCATTGAACCACACAATGCAACTCCCCTTCCCCCCCCACACTCCTATCCTTCAAAGATACCCTTCAATCTCCAAACCTGATCATCATGCGCCGCATCGTCAATCTCCTAAGCCTTTGTCCTGTATGTATCTGTGTATGTATTCAAGCCTTGTCAGCTCAAAAATCCTTTATAAATAAAAAGCTTCCCACTTCTTCGACCACATCCCACTACTTACCTTGTCCCATTCCCACGCAAAGCATGCTTTGGCATAGTCGTCACCGACTCCTCATTCCTATACCTGATTCTCCAAAGAACTCGATAGCCTACATACATATCTCTATATATTCTCTCAACCCTCTCATTCCTTGCCTGCCTTCCTTCTCTTCCTAGTGTCATCCTCTTCTACATCCATTTCGGGAATCACAATTGGGTGTCCGGTTACTAAGTTAGTAGGTTGTGTTATTAGTAAGTACCTAGTAACCAACCCTACGGATGGTCTATCCGGCGGCTCTCTCTCGGCCGACTTCGATTCTAATTCCCGCCGACGATGTCTTCGACGCCGACCAAACACCGTTAGCTTTTCCGCTGGTTTTTCTCCATCTGAGCTCGAAGCCTGAGACCTGAGACCTGAGACCTGAGACCTGAGACTTGAGGCCTGAGGCAGAGCAGAGACAACGATGCGGATGTACACTACAAAGCCAGCACTATCACCCTAAGTACGGAATACTTCCGTCTGGACATAGAAGGAGGGATATACAATCATACTTCCGAGAGAAATGAAAAGAGGTCGCGAGTAGGGCTGCTCCGGCGTCCGGCTCTTCCCTACCCAAACGACTCTCAAAGGAGAAGCAAGGGGAAAGCACGACAGCCAACCTGTTTTCATGACTGTGTATGTATAGAAATGCCAGGTACTGGGCTGATCCATGGGCAAGGAGGGGGAGAAAGTATTTATAATAGATCTGATTTGGACTAGAAGAAGAGACAGAAAAAAAAAGACGGGACATGCGAAGTGGGGGTGGGAGGGTTGGAAAACGCTATACATCATTGTACATCTGGCATGCGGACGGCGATATCGCCCGACTGGGTTATATATCGTACCCAGGGGAGAGAAGGGTATTGTAGCTATCGAAGCCATCGGGTTAGCGGGAACCGAACTATTCAAGAAATCTATAATGGATGTATTAAGACGTTACAACATACCTTTGGTTCGGTGATCTTCAAGTACCGTACTTGGATCCCACTGGTGGTGAAATAGGGGATCTCGAACTTGACGTTGATCGGCCGCTTGGCCTTGCCTTGGCCGGTGCCGCCCATGCTGCCGCCGAAGCCGCCCGTCATGCCGCCGCCGTGCTCGTCATCGCCCTTGACGGAGGGCAGTCCCAGCTCCGCGCGCATCAGGAACTCCTTGCCGCCGCCGAACTGCTTGATCTTCCAGATGATGGCGGACTTCTCGGGGGCGTAGTGGACGGTGCCGATGTTGGTGCGGAACCGCGGCGAATCGGCATCTTCCGGCACGGGGACGAGGATCTCGACATTGTTGGCTGTGCTGCGGCGCTTGAATTGCGCTTTAGCCTATCGTTTGTAGCGGATGTGTGCCGTTAGTCAACCAACCCTGAACATCGCATCTGCCCCTCTCTCAGGATGGTCAACGCACCTTTAGCATGTACTCCATTCGCGAACCAGAGTGAGATTCGACTAGACACTCCACCCAGATCAACGGCTTCACCTGCGTGTTCAACCGGTAGCTCATGAGCTCGAACTCGCCATCCGGCGGGATGAAGCTGATGGTGCGGTCGTTCTCGAAGCGCGAGAGTCGCACGCACTGGTGGAACTTGACATCCTCCATCTCGACGGCCTTGCCGCGCGTGGCGCGGCCCGTGGTCTCGAACATGACCTTGTCGTTCAGGCCCAGCCGCAGCTCCGGCATCCCACTCAGGTAGCACTTCATCTTGATGGCGCCCAGAATCTCCGATCGCAGCACGTTACCAGACGCGGAGACGAGGAGGTTCAGGGACTCGACAACATCGAGGAAGACTTCGTTCTTGCGGTAGCGGATCCCCTCGCTTCGCCAGGAGACGGCATTGGTGACCGCGATAGGTGGTCGGGCTTGGACTTCGAGCTTGTGTGATTCTTGTGTGATGTATCTGGAATTATTGCGCACCCCGAGTCAGCACCCCGCTGTTTTTGTTTGAGGAAGAATCCGCCATGTGCTTTTTTATTTGGGCAAGCAGCAGACCGATCCAAGAAACTTACTCTTGCAAGATCTTGCTCTCCGTGGTCTGCGGGTACCCGAAGTCCATCATCTCATCGAGTAATTCATAGATAATAACGAAATTGTCCCGGATACTTTCCTCCTCCAACACCTTGAAGTATTCCGTAAACACCTCGACGATCTTATGTAGGAAGAGGAGGATCTCGGTGGCATTGGTGTTCTTCTTAGTCAGGGCCAGGATGTAGAGGTTGCTGTGACGGATGTAGAGGTACTATGCCGAATGCCATAATTAATAAAAACGAACCAATCCCAAATATAGCTGCGGTAGGCACCACGTTTCCAAGCAAGAACGCATTGAGGTGGTATGGGAGGGGGGTGATGAGTGATGCTGGTACGAAGCCAGCAGCAACTGGGTGCGGGCTGCGGGGAACAGCGGGGGTAAATAGGGAGGTGCATGTGTGTGCGCCGCACCTGCGGCGGCGGCGGCGGCGGCGTTGCGGCGAAGCAGGTCGATACGTACATTGATTCCTTCGTGGGAGAAGCAGGGGGCGACAGCGGAGCTCTCTTCTTCGGCGTCGCTGAGGAGGATAGGGAATTTCTCGACCGCGGACATAGGGATGTCTCCGCGATAGTTCCGGGCTAGAAGGGTCTACTAAGACGGTCAGGTACCAGGGGGGGAGAATGGACACGGAGGCACTGCTGGGGTAGTTTTACCTTGCCCTTCAGATCCAGGAAGAAAATAGCCGACGCCATGGCGACAAGGATGGGAAGAAATCCGACGTCGAGGGAGTAGGGAAGTGGTCAAGAGTGAGAATTGGCCAGGAAGGAGATGGAGATGGGAAGGGGAGTCGGTGCGGGAGAGAGACGCTGGCGAGTGTGAACGGGGGAGGCCAGCCAGACCACTAGTTACTCGACATGCTTGTTGGATCTAGAAAAAGGGAGGGATTTGAGCTGAAGGTGAACAATGTCAGTTGAGGTCAATGGAGGAGAAGCATCAACAGCGCTGCAACAAGATACACGTACAGTACAAGATGGTTGGTGTATCTGACCTTAAAGTTAAGGCAGTTAGTGAACTCATACCTAAAGTTGTCAATGGGCTGGATTGCGGCTGTCCGTCTGGCCTGATACAAACCTTACACCAGACCCCCTCGCATTCTGGCCATTCATTACCAGTTTTAACGTCTGGTAAGTAACCACGCCTCAGGCATCAGGACACGTGCCGCTAAGCCTTCTCAGGGAGCCGAGCTACTCTCAAAGAAGTCTAGCGCAGTAGACACCAAGCACACTATAAATTCGCATTTCTGCTGCCAATTTTCCTCCGGCTTTTTTTTTTTCTTTTCTTTCTTTGTACCATACGCCCTTTCTAGACAGTGCAAGCCAGTGTAAATTGCATCCAAGCGATTTCCAAGTTCAACTCGACATTCTGTTGGTTGTTCTCGGTTTTCCATGGCTGATCTTGCGATACCAAGGTGCGAAGACGATGCATCGAATTTTTCGAGGGTTCCATAAGAGCTGGCCGAGTATTTTGCTTACTGTTACTCGGGCGGTGTCAGAGGAACCGTACATTCCTATCTTTTTCTCTTAATCTATGTATTGTCCACCTTAACCTGCTACATGCTATGTACTCGAATATCCAGGAGCGAGTAAAGAAATCTTGCGGGTTGGTATTTGCAGTTCCATATAGCACAGGTCGTAGTAGTGGTGGTGGTGGTTAAAAATACATAATATACGGTCGAACGAAAAGTGATGATCCCCCAGTACACAAGTGGGAACCAAGATCCCCTAGGACAAAAAAAAAGAGAAAAGGCAAAAAAGGAAAATAAACGCCTAGATATGCTCCCTGCGAAGAATTGCCCCGAAGAATTCAAATTCGGTCCTGCCTCCCCGACGTCTTCATGCCTCGAGCCCAAGGCCCAGGGGTTTGAGTATCCGCTCACGTGCCACCTTGTTGGCGACGTCGCCGCCCTTCTCCAGCGAGATGGCGCCGATAATAGCGTACATCGTGTGAGCGAGAACGAGTTCCAATCCGGAAGCCTGGAGGTTGAGAGGCTAGAGAGGTTGAGAGACCACACGTTAGCCACAGCCTGTTTTCCCCATCTCACGTGCGCTCTCCATTGTAGCATGATAGAAACCGGGGGGGGGGCTTAGGGGGAAAAAGAGCATCGGTTTTCATTCCAACCCAACGCAATTCACTCACCTGCCGAGGAGACCATCTCAAAACCTTCTGGAGTGCGTATTTGTTTGCCAATTGCGCCATCTTGGCCTTGTGTGTCATGAAGTTCTTGACGTTGTAAGAGAGGTTGCTCAAGCCCTCCAGATCGGGATGGGTAAAGGGCGTGCGGCCATAGGCGTCCGGAGTCGGGGCGCTGGCAGCTGGACCCTGCACCAGAGCCAGCGAAGCCTGTAGTTTGACGATGCGTTTGCCTATCAACAGAAGGAAAAATCGAAGGTTAGCCGCCGCCGCCGTCGTCATGTCATCGGTAAAAGTGGGAAGGAAGCCCTTCGTCCCCCCTCTTCCTCCCTTCTTCCCCCGTACGTACCCAAGAAAGCCAAACGATCGTTGTAACCTCTCCGTCCCTGATCAAAACTCTTGTGCGTCACCGCTAGCCATTTGACCTCGTCCGATAGTACCTTGTCGCCATCAGGGCCGAGCAGGCCGATGTAGAACCGATCGAGGACTTTGGGGTCGGAGTTGGAGTTCCAGGCCGGGCGTTTGGAATCAATGCGCAGACTGAAGGGGGCCTTCGCACGCTCGGGCGTGTAGGACCACCGCGGCCGATCTTGCTGGCTGGCAGGCGCGGCCTCCGTGGATGTCGACAACGCTCGCCGCGGAAGGAGAGCGGATTCGATCGCGCTGGGACGAGCGAGGGTGCGGCACGCGGGGCCGGAGAGTGTCCTGACCGCGCGAGTGGACAGTGTTGAAGCCATTGAATCTGTGAGAGACCGGAACTCGGAGTGGTGGAGAAGGGGTGTGAGAGTGAGGAGTTCGCCAGTCCGGGGCTGTCTCTCTTTTTTTTTTTTTTGGCACGGTCGATGGCAACAACAACTATGATTGATGATGGACTTCCAGGAAGAATTCGGAGATGCGCTATTCCAGATTGGGTTAGTACATCCTCCGGCGCTCCCCTTCAGTCCCGTTCTGGCGGGCCGGGGCATGAGCGGCTACAGCACTGTACTGTATAGTACCTTAACAAATCTTGTAGGTTATACATGAGTAAGTTACCCCTCTCGCCACAGTAATAACAATTGAATTTGCTATGCTAGCCTAATACAGGGCTTTCGAGCTCTAACGGGCTGGGTCTGTGGACCAATATCGCGACCCATCTCCAACAATGGCTCCGGGGACATCTCCGCGTTATCGGAACCCGGCATTGGTACTATATATCTTGCCATTAACCTCAAAGTTGACACATGAGTATCTACCCTCTCTCTCATCATATTCAAGGCCCACTGTATGCCAATGAATGCCGTACTATGAACCGACGGAAGGTTACGTACTTCCCCATGAATCCCCTTCTCTCCCTCTTCTACGATGGGGCGAGATCTTAGGGTAGATCTAGGCGCAAGAACCCGTAAGCTCCAGTGACTTGCTAGATCACTTCGGAGTTCGAGACGAAAGATACGAGGGACAAGCACCAAATCGATAGGACCTTCGTCAATGTAAATGTAATAATGATTGTAGCCTGTCGGAACACGAGTCATCTACGGAAGAGCTATTCGTACGCTACAGTTGACAGGATGGACGGGAACCTCAGAGAGTAAACCGCCCAGCCCCGAGCCAGCCTGCCCGTCCTAAGTGAGAGCTGCCCGCCTGGAGACTCTTTCTACACCGCAATATGGCCTGACAGGGGAGGGGGGTAAGGGCCGCATATCACTTCCTACCCTGTCTGTAATGTGTAACAACCAGGAGCCGAAATTTCGGATGACGGAAACCTCGGGGCAGTTTCCGTGTCACCCCTGTCGGTCCGTTCTTCCTTGTGTATATCCAACGTGCAATGGAGCTGTTAAGATCCATCCCTCCAGTGGACGAGTCGGAAGAGCTCGGTGGAACGGCCTCTGCATATTTCGTATGCCCTGGACAGTCGTGGTCCATCATTTTAGACAGGCTCGGCCGACACAAACAGACCAGCGGTAAAGAGCTTCGCTTTTATCGCACTGCCAAGATTGAGGAGCAAGGTGATACCAGTCGCCCTCGGGACAGTATACTTCAAAGCTGCTATTGACAGGGAACGTAACGACCGGGAGATTCTCGTTCCAACGGGCCAGTGTTGCACTGGCAGGTGATATAGATTGAACGCAAGGCGAAGAGGAGACGAGTCCTTCTCAAAGCCCCCGAAACTCTTGAGCCAACAACGAGAACCCCTCAAGGTGTCAATTCTTTGTATTGGACCCCGTTCTCCGGACGACACCGCTCTGCGGGGAACATAGATCCAATTGCAGTTACCCGTAAAGTGAGTAGTAGGAAGTCAAGAGCAAGCCACTTACCACAAGATCCTTTGATTAGGAAGGAGTACGATGCCCAGCGGCCGTTGAACGCCTTCTACCCGACTCTGAGCAGCTACTCCGTCAGAAGCCGTCGGGAGGAAGACTTGAGACATCACTGGAGGCGGTCTCATGCATTAGCCGTTTAGAAGAAAGAGCTTGGTCAGGCAATTTGCCGAGACTTGGGGTCAGAATCGTTTCGATTCTGGGTGCTTTGGATTCGAGCTCAGAAATCTGTCCACGTGCTTCCGCGTGATAGACATGGCATCCAAGAGGCCTTCGTCGTACAGGAATATCCATATACCCGAAACTACTATCATGCCGTTTGCAGACCGCTTCTAGAAATCCAGGCTGACTGGAAAGATCCGACGAAGACCTGCCTCGGTGATGCGAAAATGGGCAATCTGGAGGAAGACGAGTAGGCAAATGGGGAACAGTGTACACGTAATAGAGCGAGTCACCAGTAACGGGCTTGCCAGATGCTTCAAGGTTGACTTTTACTGTAAGCTTGATGGTCGATGGGCGCAGTATTGCAGAGGCCGGTTGTTTGCAAAGATGGAAGCTCTCCAGAATCCCTGTATCGAAGCAAACTTTCTGGGGCCGCGTCTATGCAAAGGCAAACGCACCCTCGCCCCCAATTCCCCGGGAATCCTGAAGCCACAATTCGGGCCAAGCTGCCGGAATCGCCTTAGAGGGTGGAAGATCGTAAAACGTCCATCTGGCGTCTACGTTCCAGGGTCTGTTCGCAAGGTGTGTGCATCGACCCTCGGCCCTAGGTATGGAGAGCAGGCAGAAAATACCAGCCTCAATTTCTGGCCCAGGTTCTAAGATCTGAGGTAATATGACTTGCGATAGTCAAAAGACGTGAGGGAGTTTCGATGCTTGTTAGTTCACACAGCGTGCCGGTGATCGGTCAGTCTGCTAGTATGTCTTGGCTCATCATAGTTCTTCTGTTCTCTTTCTCCAGTGTGTCTGAGGTATTGTCTTGTAGTCAAAGACCAAGACACGCGGCTGCAAGCACACTGTCCGACATCTTTAGACGAGACTCATTCCCGTCGGTCCCTTGCAGACAAGGCGGGAGACTCATCGAGATCTATCAACGCTGGCGGAGTGATCGGCGTTAAGGCCATTGGAAATGTCATATCCCCCACGCGGCCTCTTGCCGTGGAGACGGAAGTCGAACAGTATAGCGGTGTACGACCCAGTCCAGAGCCCATTTCGACCCGGTCTCTGGACTTCAGAATTGGCAGTATATAAAGGGAAGGTTGTAGCTCGCTCTGCAGTGACTCCTCATCAGACCTCTTGTGTGCGTGTGTGTGCCTCGCATTGCCTTCGTCTTATATCTCAGAAGCAGCTCCAGTCAATTGTTCCCCCCTCTGTTTGTCAGTGGTATCAAGCAAGCCCAAGACATCCTCCTCTCCGGGCTACGAAAATACCCCGAGCTATCCGCAGTCTGCCTATCCGGTTCGATTCTTCACAGCGCAACATGTCACTCTGGACAATGTACAACTTCCGTTCCGAAGTTTGGTCGGGCATGGTCCTTCTTCCAGTTGAGATCAACAGGGAGGGAATTCCTTTGAGTAACTGTTCGGTCCATGATCCGCCTTCACCTCAGCCTTTCCCTCCCAACCCTCCGCCAAGTCCGGCATGAAATCAGACCATGATGATCGATAGTCGTTGGATCAATAAGGAATTCCTGTATAGGTGAGGACATTCTTTCCCGCTCGAGCGTGCACATGCTGCGAGAGACATGCAGATGCGCACCTTGAGAGCCAAAGACATAGAAGTATCGGTTCTAACTATGTAACAGACGAAGAAGTGGCACATGGCAATACTGCGGCTAGGATTGCGGCTGTTCAAGCACCAAAGGCGACAAAAGAAAATCATCGGCGTGAAGAATTTGTTTAGCAGGGATTGTGAAATTGAAATAGGGAAACCGTTATAGACTGGACCGAAGATGGGGGTTCTGGAGTTATTGTTGCAAATGTTCTAGAGAATGATATTAGTCCGGCTACAATGTTAGTGATATGCGCAGTATGTGGTGCTGTTTTCGCGTGCTGTCTTCGTATGCTGTATGAATCAATCCCCCCTATACCAATATCCACGACAGGGGCTCAATGTCCGAGGATTGCCCTACGAAATGGTACACGGCCGCTTCCTTCTGCAGGCCGTGTAAAACATGTCTTCATGACGAAGACGTAGGAGACCGGGATTTTCCAAAAGAAAAAAAAGCAATCAGTCATCCATTGACTGGCTATTGAATATATATTGCAAGAAGAACATTTTAGACAGAGCAGGAATCAAAAGGTATGGCACAAGCGAAATCACAGCAAAGCAAGAATCAGAGCGCTAATCGTACTCAGGCCAACCACAGTCCAGCCGGTCTTGATGACCTGGGGGTTGGTGAGACCGCGACCGGTATCCCAGATCAAGTGACGAACACCGTTCATGCAGTGGTAGGTGAAAGGCATGGCCATGGTAGCCTTGAGGAGGACCTTGGCGAGGACGGGGAGGGCACCGAAAGCGGCAACGGCGGAGGCAGAGCCGAGGTCCCAGCCGAGCATGGGAGAAGCGAGGTAGGCAGTCGCATAGAGGTATAGACTGCCGGACAGGGCGATACCGGTGATACGGTGCAAACTACTGCCGATCCAGGTGATCTGGGGCTTGTAGATGGAAAGGTGGGGAGCGACGGGGCGGCGCAGACGCTGCTCAGCAAGGAGCTTGTTGGGGTCGGAGGTGGTCGTGCTGGTGGTAGCTTGTCTAATCCGACGAGACAGTTTAGCGATCCTGTGTGCTATATCCCCACATGTGTCTAATCTCTCATGGCCTTCGCCTCACGCGGTTGCGGTCGAATTCGAGATCGCGACATCCACCCAATGGAGACGCCCGTCGCAACAATCCATCCATCCTTCGGCGCAGCGACTCACCTCATCTGAACATTTCTTCCGAGAGCAACGGCGGCAGGCGAGACGGAGTTCATCAAGGACCAGCGCAGGGCGTAGGGCTGCTGGACGGCGACTGCAAACGAATCGGTTAGCGGAGCCCCATGGCTGCAGGGTCGAGAAGCAAGAACGTACGCCGTCGCAGCGACTGCTGGGCAACCTTCTGAGAAAGCATTGTGACGCGTGTGAAAGGACCTGACAGGCGGCGCAGGGACTGGGGATTGAACAGTGGACAGAAAAAGGAATGTCGTCGTCGTTCGAGGTTCGTGGTCGACCAGGAAAGAAAGTAGCCTTGAACTCCCGACTCTCGTAGCGGTTCGGAATCACGGGACGGACAACCTCGGGTTCGACTCCAGGTCACGGGACCAGCTCCGGAGGGGAATTCTGGGCCAATGAGCAATGCTGCATTACCATTCGGAAGATTCATCTTCCATTCCCTCACCGCCCGCGCTTGTGCCGAGCTCTTTTCTTCATTTGTGTGCGTGTTTTCTCTTCCTCTCTCTTTCCTTTCCTTTCCTTCTCCCAAGGGTCTCCGCACACGTTGTCTACCATCTGGGATGATGTTGACGTGGTATGCAGGGCCTCACTGGTTCGGCATTCTGTCGTTTCCGCAGAGGTCAATGAGATACCTGAGAAGGACTTGTCCCGTCGTTAATCGCCCATTTGTCTCTCGTCAATGAGATGAAAGGGTTTCATATCAGGGTTACATGCTGTAGTCTGTAGTTGAAAGGTACTTGGTTGCCATTGTAGTCTCTGTGCATACAATCGGATGCTTGTCAAACGGCTTTCAATATTGGCAGCTGAGATCGTCTCCTGATTGAAGTCCTGCAGCTCTGATTTTAGAGTTTTGATTCAGGGTTTAGGTCACTGGGAACAGTGGTCATCTTCCTGCGGCCTGCAGCAGTGATGCCCGCCGGTGGTCTGTCTACCTACTGTTAACATGATCATGGATGTACGCGACTAGCGGCTCAAGAACAACAACAACTGGCCCCTGGAAGAGGCCAATCATCAAAGGGAACAGTCAGTCAAATGAGCAGTATCCCAACTGTCAATCAATTGCCGATGTTTGCACGAGCAACCCTTAACCCGGACTACCCTCAGATGTCGGCATTGTTAGGGCTGAGACAGCGGCATCTGATTGATAAGGGAAAACAACCCCACCGCAGATTTGATGCAGCATATCCAATCCCAATTCGCCAGTGATTATTCTCTTGCCGATGATCCTTTCGAGGGCGAGAGAACTATCGGGCCGAATGGAAGAACAATCGTGTCGGATTATCGACAAGCAATGGTTTTCACCCCGCTCCGATTTAGGCTAAATGACCACTGCTTACTGTCTGAGGGGAATGGTAGGTATACTATAGTCAGATGTATAAGTGGCCTGTTCTGCTGTTAGTCCTGAAGATGCGCCCGACTACTCTGGATGCTTCTAAAACTGGCCTTCAAAATTTACCAGGTAGTTTAGCCTTTCAGACGTCGTTATCGCTTGGTCCGGGGTGCAAGAAATTTGATACTCTCTTAAGCAGCTCTTTTTTGATAGCGGCTAGTAGATTTCTTACTGCAGTACAATAGTCTGGTGAGCAGCTGGATTAGTATCAGAAGGCAGAGAAACACTGTCAATATGGTGTTTCTACTGATTTACGGAACACGTGCAGGCTCATATCATTGTTATCTAGGAACTGACCCAATGTGCTATAGTCAGAGGCACTTTCCTACTGGTCGCTAAAACGGTGCAAATTACGGAGTAGTCTGTTAACGTTGCTTAAACACGATTGCCTAAAATACCCCAACTATCAAACCACCAAAACAGTAGACAATTGAGTGGGATAGTGTGGGAGGCTGTATTGTGACGCTTATTCATCGAAAGCTAGTGATTTACCAGTCTTGTTAGCTAAAGTCCTGAAACTTTGCCTTCTGCAAATGGATAACCATACTTGATGAGACTATTTCCGTTTTCCCGGATAGGCACAGAAGGTAGAAATCGAGGGCCGCTTTACACATAGGAAGCAAGGATTGTCTTTATTGTGAGAAGGATATTGGGTGTTATTATATACAATACTTACTAGTTACGAAGCTATGATCGTGTGATCTATAACTTACCTTTCCAATACTCCAATTTTGACTATACCTTAGGATAACAAGAATGCATCTATGATAATATATACTATCATTCTTAGCTCTGTACCTAGGTAATCTTTCTCTGTCTACCAAACAAGAAATACTACTTTGCATGAGTCTGGTCACTGCGTGGTTGTAGTTCGAATTCGAATCTCTCTTGCAGGCTTTCTGTCTCTCCGGAATACCAACTAACCCTCGGTCTGGAAAGACATGGCATATCGGCGAGTCCACTCCTGGGCAGTCTTCTCAAACTCTGCCGAGTTCTCCAACCACATCTGTGCCGCCTCTGGCCGCAATGGCATTGATGTCCCGCCCTCCTCTTCCATAAATTGTCCAGGGCTTCCAATCAATGCAGCAACCGAGATCAGAACCACTCGGATAGAAAGAGCCTTGCTCCAATCCTCTTCCAAGATGTTCAAGCAGATCCTGCCATCGTGGCCGACATTCGGATGCCAGATCTTGGTCGCAAATCGACAATTGGGGGGGGGGCTGGCTCGGATACGACAAGGGGATAGAGAGAGAAATCTGGAACAAGCCCCCCTCATAGGGTGTGCCCTTCGGGCCAGCGATTGTCCCAATCATGTTGAGAAGGTCATTTTGCGCCGCCGGTGCAAATGACACGAAGGGGCATTGTGGTGAATGTGGTCCGTCTTCGACAGCAGCAAGAAGCTCAGCTCGCACACGGCGGTACGGATCGGGGGGTGACGACGCTGGCGGAGCAAGAACCCTGGCGATGGCGACAAAGTCCTTTCGGTGAACTTCTTCCATAATATGGGACTTTTTTCCAGTACGTAATCGATGGTTGCCGGCTAGAATGGATCTTGAAGTTATTGTGAGGATGTATGTAGAGTCTGCTTCTCGTGCTTGCAACTTGGAAGCAACGTGTTGACAAAGAGCCTTGAAGCCAACAGGCAAGTAAAATAAATAGGCAGATGCCATTCTTTGTACTCTATATTCCTTGAGAGGTTCCACGGAAACATGAAATCACGCGAAGTGGCTGACAATCGTTCAGCGGGGAACGGTGGTTATCGGATTGATTATCTCCGCAATTTACATGCTGTTTCTGTTCCATATATCGAATTCCTTGATTCGGCGAAGTGATATCCTACGACCTTGTGTCCTTGTGTCAATTACAAACACGAAGGTAGGTATAGTACCTTTGTCAAGCTAGTACAGAGTTGGCAGTGCTTATCAGAACAACGAGCTTGCTTTGTTTGACAATGCGCCGATCAGGCCATTCTGCTGCATCCCTCTTATAAGCACATTCCCCTCCTCTTCTCCGGTTCTACTCCATCATTCCTTAACTTGCTGCCATTATCAACTCACCTGGTACTCCTTCTCATACCATCATCACAATGGCTACCCCGCAGACAGCACTGGATGCTCTCCGCCAAAGGACCATTGTCGACTGCGATACAATGGATGAGCAAGGTCTGTGCAGCTTTTATTATCAGACCCATCGCTTCGAATGCGGAGCTAACCAAACTGTCGTCTATCATGATCAGTTGCCAAAACCTTCGGCCCCTTCCAGGATTGCACTTCCAATCAGGTACTGTATAGTCGTCCGCTGCAGCCGAGACAATCCCTAAGTATCATTTACTCACCAAACCATACTACCCCAGGCAATCGCATTGGGAGAGCTCTCCAAGCCCGAGCACAAGGACCTGATCACCGCATCCGTCAAAGAAGCAATTGAGCTATCTCCCAAGTTCCCCGGGCCCAGCGTCGAGGAATTGGCCGTCGAGATTGCAGTATGTAACGAATCAGCCCTTTCAAAACACCTCCAGCCAGCACACTGCTTAGGATGGGCGTAACTAACCCGGCCACGGCCATTAATCCTTCCTGGATAGACGATCAAACTCGCCCTCAAGATCGCCCCCCACATCACAGGCTACATCCACATCCAAACCAGCCCGTACTACTCCTACTCGACCACAAAGACCTTCACAAATGCGTGGAGTGCGTATATACACCCCATCCACCTTCC